GGGGGGGGGGGATGAACTATCATCGAACGCCGAGATTGTGGAACGGATTAAGGACAAGGAGGAAGTCAGGTTATAGACCACTTTTAAATTGAAGCAGGGCAGGATGATGTGACACGTGCGAAGCCACCCAAAGTTGTGCATTGTTGTAGTTATCTACTGATATCATAAGGCACGGGGGGAACGTAACACAAACCACACACGCTGCAGTAAATTGACACCAGAGCGCTCTCAGCTAGAGAGCCTCTGACAGTGACATGACGGCGACACTTTTATGATGGAGAGGTTACAGCTTGTGATCTATTCAAAATATCTGGAACGAATCGACATGTAATGAAACATGTCTTTGGACAAAGTTTGGGAACACGAAAAAGATCTGATAAATAATCAAGCCTTATAAATTCCGTCTAAAACAATCCGATAATAAAACAAATCATTACGTCAATCGCTATAATAATTTCATTCATAAATCGTCTAGATTTGCAAATGCAGTTTTAGCCTACACTCATTATATTTTAGACATAGGTTTATTTTATTACAAAGTTTTCAAACATGTACTAATCGTTCATATGTCAGCCGCTACGAAAGGAGCTTCGAACCAACTAAGAGATGTACTTTTTAATTTCCTATCAGAAGTATCACACAACGGACGTGAGGACTTCTGGTGTAGGCTGTAAGCAGTAGTAGCACCTTGAAAATAATGAAGTGGTTGTCACTGGATTAATCGACTAAAAATTATCGGCGACAAAAGAATAGATTACTAGGATAATTATGACAGACCAAGTCACTTAACAGGTTTAATCAGAGTGATAAAATGGATGATTAAATGGGTGTGGTACGTAGCACAAATGGGTGATAAGACAAATGCAGATACATTTTAGTCAGAAAACCACTTGGAAACCTATGTCTACTATAAGGAAAGGAAAAGAAACAAACGACGAGGGCGCGGACTGAATTCAACTACGAATTTCTTGACCAGATGAGCGGTCATCAACTTCTTAAGAAGGCCTCTAACATGTATGCTATTAGTTACTTTTAAGAACAAATTCACGGGTGCTGAGGTAAAGGGGCAAAAGTCATAAAATATCAGGAAATAAAAACGGTTTTCGGAAAATTCTCGCAGATAATATTTGTTTATGTTTTACCAAAATGTTACAGAAACGTGATTGTACAATTTACACATGAAGTTCGGGCTTAAGCGACAGTCCTGCTCAATTACAGGCAATGTGATCCCAAAAAGATGTATACATATATTCAGTGAATGAAATAAATACATTTTAATAAACTAAACCATTATATACGTCAACACTAGCACTTCGTGAATTCGCGAATCTAGTGTAGGTGTTCAAAATGGCATTAGTCCATAACTTCCATAAACACAACACACAGGTGATTTAAGGATATCAAAATAATATTTTGATATCCTCAGTAATTATATTATAATTACTGAGGAAGCTTAATGACATAAAGTTTGTAATATAATATAATAATGTAATTTTCCTGCTAATTTATATGTAAGTTATTATAATTACACCTACTGGAATAAAGCCTGAACTTGTAATACAGTAATTTAAAGAATTATCTGACATTATCTGCCAACATCATTAAGAATTATTAAAGTAATTCAAAATATTTTTTGTGATTTTTCGGCGGATACCATTGGTTCGCGGTTCACACTTTGATAAACATGGGTCTAAGCTATAACAACGTCAAACCCCACTAGCGACCAGGATGATTTTATGCGGTTTCACACTTGTGCTGTAAAGGCTGACGTCTTGTGATGCTGATTACCCATCTAATATATCAGAAAACCTCAATTAGAAGAGGCAAAGACTAGAACGAGGTTGTACCATTAACATTATTAAAGTCAAGAAACCGTGTCGATAAAACAGTATGCACAACATTCAGGACCACTTAGGTAAAAAATTAAATATTCTATCCACAACACAAAACTTATTTCAGAGAACAGAACATCGCCTCCATCTTGTTTATGATCATTCCCTTCTCTGACTTATAACGCGCCCATAACAATGCTCTTTGCCTGCCTTCTAGAGAGTGGATCTTTCATTTTATTTTATTTTTTGTCCCGAAGCAGATGTTTGATTGCGTGAGAGGAGGCTGGTTCAGTTAAACAATAAAACAGACCAACGACTTTGACGGCCGACATTTCGTGCGACTAATAAGGTTTGAAAAACACCAAGTAACGGCTACTTTTCTGCTCGACGCTCGCTGCACTCATGACAAAAACTAACTTACCCATGTTAAAAGGGCACCAGGAAAAATGGAAAACCACAAACTAACAACATTTAACATCCTCTCCTACTTGTAAATCCTATCATAATTTTTCCGAATACACGGAAAGTGTTATGAAGTTCGATTGTTATGGTGACTGATAATTGCATGGAGCAGAGTCCTCGAGAATCTAACAGTCGCTCATCTGGAACCTGACGATTCAACAAAAAGTCCATAAGCGCCTATCAATAAACCATATCCATAATATGACTACTGAATTTTTGGTGAAGATAAATTATGAAGCTTCTCGTAACGTAATTTTCTCCATCCTCCAGTTACTGCCTCTCTCTTGGGTCAAAATATTCCCCTCCGCAC